AATCGGTTAGGATGTTGCCTCTCATACGAAAAATTACGTAATGCGCGTATAAAATATTATTCAGTGTCGTACAATATCGCTTTTCTTATCGCGTACCACATAAAAACTGCAACTGCCTTTTATTAAGTATATTTTATTACACGGATTCATCGTTGCTTAGGTATAATATATACATATGTACTTATTTAAAAAGTTTCTATTAGTATACTTATTCTTCACAGAATTGTAAATTGCTCAGTCTCGTTCTAAATAAATACGTGTTCATAAAAGCGTCTTTGTTTGTATATACGATAAAGATTTTAATGAGTAAACGCTATATTTTCTAACGAACACATTATTCAATAGAATTAGTTATAATTGGTACTTCAGTACAGTACCATCAAAAAGTTACGATATCAGTTCATTTGGGAGAGTTCCTTGGTAGGTGATTTATCGAGACTGCTTAGGTCGTGCTGATGATACCTAATAAGACCGAAATCGCGATTCACATCATGGTGATTCTGGAGCCCAAGGGGCTGTCAAAATGCCAGTGTACCAATAATTTAAGAGTCCAAGTTACCCAAAAGCATAGAACATTTAATAAACATAACATTAATTTTTTTGGACGACCTTGGGGGTCTTTCAGGACGCAGTTAAAATTTCATTACCAGACGGGGTCAAAATATTTGAATATGCTGTGCAATAGTTCAATTCATATTAATAATTGTGTCAATACTTTCTACAATTCGGTTCAAAATTGAAATATATTTGTCCTAAATGGTAATAACATTTATTGTTTTCGACAAATACCTCATCAAATTTAGAGAAAGTTGCCTGGAAAAATGGCAAGAATGTAAAACGCATTAATTTAATAATTATAATGACTAAATGTATTTCGCCGTTAATTTGTAATTTACATTTCGTGTTTGGATCGTGTTTAATATCTAGTAATATTTGAGTAGTTAGTTGGATATTTCTAAACTTTTTTACGGCAGTGTACAAATACCTATAAATAAACAAACTGCATGGTACGAAGAGGATTTTCCTATTGTTGGTAAACAATATAATTAGACCAAGTCGCGGTTATAAAATCTATTTCAAGCCTTGCGATTAGTTTTGTAATTCTAACAAAACAATTAAAATGACATTAGGTAGGTAGGTAGGTAATAGATAAATGTAAATGTGTTTTAAATATTTTATGCCGCCTTTAGAAGTTAAATTATCCCATTGTTAGTTACTTATTTCACTTATGTTATGAAGTTAAATTTCTTTTGGTGACGAATGTTGCATCTGTCAATGTTTCTGTACGTTGTCGATAAAGTGGTCGAAAATATGGCTTTTCGCTTAATGATTGCAGGAAAATGGCAAAAGATGCGTGAAATGCCGTAAAGGTGATCGATTTAAAATTTTGTTTACCTTCATCCGAGTTTTTGAAGATGTTTAAAAGGTATTTACGAATTAAAACGTTAAAAAACCATTTCTGCCTTGCAATCAAGATATTTTTTGTCAATATTATCTACCTAACATTATGTTCTGGAACTAACCGACTATTAAAACGTAGACCTCCTTTCGATATTATCTTAGTATGCTACCGTTTAATCAGATTTTTTAAATAAAAATCACCAATTTTGACGTGTTCGAGGTAGAAGTAGGTAAACAATTGGAAAAAAGTAGATGGGTCTAAGTGCCTATATTCGAGCGTATAGTTGGTTGCATATGCATCGTGAAAATGTCGCTGAAATTAAAATGTAAGTGCTAAGCACCGCTGACAACGGGTGCCACTGTCTAAATTTGGTCAGATTTAGTCAGGTAGTTGTTAAATCCTAGCTAATATTATACATGCGTCTATAAGTTTGTCTGTTTATTTGTTTGTTTGCCGGCTTTTCATGTCTTAACTACTCAACCGATCATAATGAAATTTTGTTTCAAAGTTGCCATCACTTAAGATGTTGCGGTTACTACTATCGAGGAAATTGTATCGACCTGCTCGTAATACACGATAAAGATTTATTACGAGAATGATGAATTGTATTTCTGGAAAAATAAGAAGTATTATGATATAAATACTTTACTAATTATTTGACGGATACGTTTTTCCCAAAGGATTCGCATAGAGTCTACACAAATAGTATCTGGATACTGATGTATCATGTACCCCAAAAGGAAAAAAAGGAATTATTATAGGATCATTTCGTTGTCTGATTGTCCGTCTGTCTGTCAAGACTCTTTTTCTTCTTTAGGAACGCGTGGAGGTTGAAATTAATATCAAATATCATCGAAGTTGCGAAAAATTCAAAATTATAGACTTAGAATTATGAATTTGGCAAGAACGAATGTTTTATAACACAAATAAAGGAAAAAATTGGAGAACCTTGAATTTGTAATTACATTATCATCATAAGGTCGTCAGTCCTATGACTGGTTGACCACGCACCTCCACCCTTTCCTATCGTAAGCTAATCTTCGCATTTCCCTAAAATCCTTAACTATTTGCGAACAGTAATCTAATCTAAGTTTACCTCTAGGTGCTCGTCGTAACTCCTGTTTCTGCCTCTTATATATATATCTCTGATTAGACTTTCATGCCTGAGAAGGTGTCCTACCAACCTATCTCGCCTATTTCTTATTGACTTTCACAGAGTCCTCTGTTCTCCTATTCTTTCTAATACCTCTTCATTTCTAACCTTCTCTATCCACATTAATTTTCTTTTTACGATTTTTAGTATCGAACATAATTAAGAAATTTAAATCGTCNAAGGTGTCCTACCAACCTATCTCGCCTATTTCTTATTGACTTTCACAGAGTCCTCTGTTCTCCTATTCTTTCTAATACCTCTTCATTTCTAACCTTCTCTATTCACGGTATCCTCATCATTCGCCAGTAACACCACATTTCGAACGCTTCTAACCTTTTCTTTTCCGCCGTACCCACTGTCTATATTTCGTACAGCGCCGCGCTCCAAACATCAGGTTTAATAATCTTTTTCGAATTTCTAAATTAATCGTTCGCTAGCATAAAAGTGACTTCTTTCGACTGAAGACGACTCGACCCTGCGCTATCCTCTACTTTATATCCCTACTACTCATTCCGTCCTGACTTATCTGACTTCCTAATTACCGAAAATCAGACACTTGTTCTAATTTTTTTCTCTTATTTTTATATTCGCTCTATCCCTACTTTTTCTTCCTATACATACCAGTATTCTTGCTTTACTTTTATTTATTTTCATACAATACTGTTTTCTCAATACCGCTTCCATTTTACTTAAAGCTATCTCTAACTTCTCCTTGCTAGATGCTAATATACTGCTTTATCATTTGCAAATCTAAACATACTAATCTTTTGCATTACACAGTTTTTTTTGTAATTGTAATATTGTGATTATACGTTTTGGGGACTGATTTTAAATGGAAATTCATAACATACTCGGAAAAAGCAGAAAAATCTTCCAGATTCGATTCCCGCGACAGACGAACTATTTACATACTTACAAGTCTGTACGGAACCTTCAGTGCGCGGGTCCGAGGCGACTTGACCGGTTTTGTTATTATTAATGCACATAAAAAGAGAAATTAAGCGACCACACTAAGAATTGATTAACAGAATTAAGAGAATACTTATATGTGTATAAAAATAGCATGAATGGTTAGTACGATTGGACGTTTTTCCTAACGTTTGACATTTGTGGTCTGCGCGATAGCTGTTATTTTTGTTAATGCAAATTAATTCATGCATATAAAATCCTTTGACTTCGTATATGCTTATACGTATACCTACCTATAAAAAATGTTGTGGTAAGTTTGTGATAATGCTTTTCCAATTTTAAAATAAGTAACTGTTATAATTGCTAAAAGTATTTTCCAAGTGGTGAGTTCATTTTTAAACTTTCAGAAAGAAATTTTATTTGATTTTCCATAATTGCGATCGTAAACAGTAAGGTATTACTATTTCTTTTTTTTTATTTAATTGAATTCAATTTTATGGTCATTCACTGGACACATGACGGTGAAACATATTTGTAGGTTATTGTATATGTTCAAAAGTATGGACTAGAAAAGAACAACTGCATTGAAGGGTTTTTATGGCATAATATGCTAGTATGAAACCCAAATAAAAAAGATAAAAATAAAAAGTGCTACTAAATGGAGGGGTGTGTTTTTGATAGCACACCGAAATTGCCTCCTTTTTAATTTCTTCAAAATAACTCGAAAACAGTAAAATTGTAGATTTTTGCAAGAATAGCTTTCTAGAAAATTGACTTTTCCATCGATTTACACTTTTCAAAAAATTTTTATTAATTATTAGTACCAAAACTAATCGAAAAACAAATTAAACACCTCTCATGTACTCCTTTGTCAAGTAATAATTTCTATTTTATGATTTTTTTTTCGTTTTCTTAGAATATAAATTGACAAAGACTGTTATTAAAAACATTAGATATATTTTCTTATAATATAAATAAACGCTAGTGTTTTTCGATAAACACTTAACATTGTAATAATCAAAATTAAAAATCAGCTTTTACGGAAAAAGTTTTTTACAAAATTTGTTGGGCTAATTAATTTAATCAATGCATTCAATGAATGCCTTGTTTTCAAAATTTGACATTCTGTACACTTTCTCTGTATAGAGACTATCAAAATAAACTGTCATGATAATTGCGGCTAATTTTATTATTTATTTAACTTTTTGAGGAATGTATGGAGAAGCTTCTTCGAAAACAAATATTAGACAAAACTGGAATTTCCATTAATTATTGTACGCAAGTCGTGCTAAAAATAATCATTATTAATTAGATATTTTAGCTGGTCTGATACACGCAGCCATGTAATAATAATTATACAGTTTGCGAATAAGTAGCTATTAAATAGCGATTATAACTCTATTTCACATTTTATTTACTTTATTATTATAGTATTTATTTAACCTTTCGATTCTTTGTAATATGTGATAATGGTCTAGACATTTGGTATTTAACAATTGCAAAATTTTTCTGAAGTTTTATTTTATTTTTTTGCAGATTTCCAAAAATGGGCGGTAGCAATTCCAAATCAGAACTGTCTCGGCGAAAGTCGTTCATTCGAAGAAGTAGTCAACGGACCCTTTTTCAAACAGCCAAACGACATTTGGCCTCTATAAGCCGAAGAATAGACAAACTTCAATCCACAGAAAAAGACGGTCAATACACCGACTTAAGATCTCAACTTGAAGAAGTGCAAAAGGAACTGGATAGTGTTAGCGACATTCTCAAGGACAAACATAGAGAGAAGTATGAAGAGTCTCAAAAGTATTTGCGAGACACTTTTGAAAAATTGGAAGCCAAACTGCGAGAAAACATGGGCATCACAGACATTCCTGAAGAAAATCCTTCACAAGAGGTTCGTAATTCAATACCAACGCCAACACAAGAGGCTCCCCCAACCGTTCCACCTAAACCTAAGGTCCAGTTGAGTCTTCTGAAAGTGCTTCCTACCCCGGAAAACTCAGAGACCAAGGGTAATCCTCTAAGGACTCCAAAAACCCCGGAAATGGAGAACGGTGAGTCGGAACTAGCCAAGACTCCAACGGAAGAAGACATTAGAGCTTCCAGAGCTTCCAAATATTCCAAATTTGGTATCCAGGTCTTACCTCCAGTTTTACCGCATACCAGACTCACAATGTTACTAGAAACCAAAAGAAATCAGTCGGAAGATTCGGTGGATACGACGTCTCCACCGGAAACTCCACAGTTCGATTTAAAGAAGAGAGAAAAGTACAGACCATCAGCTCCTGGTGTGCCTCAAACACCCTCCTTCGATTCACAGCCACCATCGCCAGCATTCTTCAGAAAATCTGAAAGTAATCCAAACGCCACTTCTCCGGTATTGAAACGAATTTCGGGAAAACATACGACAACGGAAGGAAGAGCTATATCGCCTCTTGTTATCCCAAGAGACCCCGTATTCCAAAATGGCACATCGGAACCACAAAATAATCAAAATTTGAACGGTTACAAAATAATTAAGGACGCCCAAGAGTACACGGAACACTTGGAAAGACAATTGAAACAGTTCAAAGGAAATAAAGATGACGAAACGTATTTCTACCTGCAGGAAGGATTTTTCCAGAACTTGATGAAATTGGATACGATAGATCCGGCGGATGATGCTGTTTTAAGACAGGAAAAAAAGCTGAGTATCAAAAAGGTTGAAGAACTGGTCAAGTTATTGGATATGAAAGTGACGGCTTCGCTTAACAATGAAGTTGCAGCGGAGTCTAGTGACGACGATGTTTTTGACGAGTACGAGCCAATTGATAAAAAAAATTCTTTATGTTCCAATGGGAAGACTGCAGTTATTACGCATTTGTAGTGTATAAAATAACAACATCGTATATTTACTGATTCGATTTGTGATCGACATTATTACCATCCATACGTTCTTAAAAGAAAATACGAAGAACAGTAAAAAAATTCAATATGACCTACATATATTAAATGCTAACAACAAAGCAATGAAACTCCTAATGGGTGAAGAAAATTTTTAGGTGTCAATCTACATCTATGTTTCGGCTTAAATTTTTATATATAAAGAGATTCCCTAACTGAAAAACGGCTTTAATGGTTTTGACAAGGGAGATTCCTGGGTTTTCTGGGTGGGGAATTCGATTTCGGTGACGCCATAGAAGGGATAAAGAGAATGCCAAAAAAAATAATAATCCTCTTCTTTTAATACTACTGATGATTCATAATATTTGTTTTTATCAAATTCCTGACCATATAAAGAAATATGGCAACAAACTATAATCTTGACAACCAGTACTTCAATGCGCTGTTGTCATGTCTTCTCACAGTATTTAGGCTTACAAAGACAGATGGTTTATACGATATTAATACTGTTAATTAATTTTGTTCTATGTGATCGATCGTACTGAAACTTTTTAAAAAAATTTAATTTATATTTTTTTACCTATGATAATATTTTTATGGATGCCAAGGTTATCAATGTTGAAAATTTTACATACTTTTGTATTTACAAGAAATTGCTTGGCTTGTTTAATGTACGGCGTGGGTCGTAAGAGCGTCACTAAGTTATGCTCGCTGATTCGCTGCGCAGTAAGGTAGTACGCATCCGATTTGAAGGGGGCGGGGTTACCGTACTTTCCCCAAAGTACGACTTTTACTAATTTTAAGGACGAGAACATAACGTCCTTCGACTCAGATGTCAATTTCCACTCAAAAGATAGTAAAATCCTTTCCTAATAAGGAATGAATGCCTTTTTTTTACCCGCGAGAGGATATTGCGCCTTTTTCCCTTTAAAGTCAAGTTAAAATATTGTACTTTCAGTAAGGTTACCGTAAAATTTTTTTTATAATTTTAAAGATTTGTTATTAGCGTTACAGAAACTTTTTTTACATATCAATCAGTATACATTAAGGAAGGTAAGGTCAACGATAACGAAATTGAAGTTACATGGTATCAGTTTTATCTTTATTTATTTTTACGTTTAAGACAAATGAAGTTATTAGTGTTAAAATAGCATGTTACATTCGAAAGTTCATTGTACTGAGGATGCTTTGTTTTGTGACAGTATTTTTTCTTGCCTCAAACGTTTTATATATATATATATATATACATACGTCCTCAGTTGTGTCGATCAGAAGAAAATGCACTTTTACATAATTATTAAATTGATTTTATAGTGTTGTGTGTATTGTTTTGGTGCATATATTATATTATTAATTTATATCTATACTTACTTGCAAATATATATATATA